ATAAAAAAAATAACCTTTTTGTTGTTGTGTTCCTAAACATAGTTTTTACTGGAAAGCAACAAATTGCTTTTCATACAAATGAGTTGTATAACTCCTAACTTGACTTGACTTTACGTTTAATTGTTTGTTTTGCTCTAGGCATCAGCTTTAGGTACAAAAGTTATTGATGAGGATGGCCTGTTTGATCTAATTCGAACTATGCCAGGCAAGAAATCCAAATACGAGCTGGTGGCTGAAACAGAGGTTTGTGTATTATGAATTTGAGGGTGGGGTGGGGTTTGGGGTTTGGAGGTTTGTTTGTTTTGTTTTTTCTTTACCTTCTAGGTTAAAAGTATTGCAAGTGAAAATTTTCTGCTTAAGATTTCTCTTGGGTCATTTTCCCACCTTTCATTTTCATACTCTGATATGATTCTGTATTTTAGGTATCTGACAGAGGGAGCAGTTGTATCTCCTTAGATGGTCTCAATTCTAAACTCTGAGTATTTGTTTATTCTTTGAAATAAGTAATTATGGCTGACATTGTGTAGTACCCAGACAGGCCCAGTATGAAATATACTATACACATGGGACACCTATATGCAAACTGTGTATATGTAGCAGATCTTGTCTTTGTGGTACTTGAACTAATAATAGTAAATGCAATATTTTCAGGCAGTACTGTACAAACAGTAACAAGGTTTTTATGCACATTTAAGCTTAGTCTGTAGTGGCTGATAAAATGTTATTAAAATCTCTGTTAGCTCTAGCATGTGGTGCATTCAGCTCAGCTGTTGCTGTGGTACTTCTGATGTGGCTAGACATGAATTATTGTAGGTAAAGATACTATTAGTGTCCTAAGGAAAAGCTTATTAGCTAATCACTTTCACTCCCTTTAAATTGTTTTAGGTTGAACAACTTCTGCAAGTGTTGATGGGTGTCTGACCCATTTGTTCCAACCTGACAGTCATCAGTTTAGCATTGTTTAATGGTGCATTAGGCCTTGTGAGTAAGGGGATTGCTCTTGGAATGACCAGAATGTTTCCTGCCTCTTTTTTGTGGGTTGTGCTGCAGAACCTGATGACACTGTGTTTAACAGTGCTTTGTTTTTCATAGAGGAGTATTTCTATAGCTGCTCTTGGAGTTTATTTTTAATCCATGCATAAGCTTTGTTACTTGCTAAGGCCTCCTGTAGGTGTGTAAATAATCATACTGTTTGTTCACTGTATGGGGTTTCTTTTAATTTCCCCTTCTTACCTTTGTTTTCCCAAGGCAAAGAGAGCAGAGTCAAGACCTAAAAGGACACCACAGAAAACCGAAGCTGGAAAAAGGAATCTTAGCCCCTTCAAGAGGGAAGCTGATAATAAAAAGTTTAAGTCTACTCCTGAAAAAGGAGATGCTGTTAAATCTGTCAAGAAAGAAACCACTGCTGTTCGAAAGCTCATGGACTTTAAACGTCAGACTGTAGAGGAGAAAGAAGCTCCAAAACCCATGGGGAACTTTGTTTCTGAGGTTAATGAAGATGGGGCAGAAAGACTGCTCTGGGTAGATAAATACAAGCCTGTATCTCTTAAGGCAATTATTGGACAGCAAGGTGAGCAAAGCTGTGCCAATAAACTGCTCCGATGGCTCAGAAACTGGCACAGGAATACCTCGGAAGATGGACAAGGTGACTGGATTGGTTAACTTTCCTCTGTGTTTTTCCATGCTCATCACACTCCTTAGTTCCCTGGACCAGTAAGGGCCTTTGAGGTAGCAAAGCAACTCTGGAAGTTGGGAATGAGGCTGCAGTTGGATGCACTTTTAGTTGAGCCTGAGTGTGTTTGGTGAGGTAGTTGTTCACTTAATACCTGCCCCAAAAAAAAGAACAGGAAGCTGTCTCAAAAGATTATTTTTTCAAGTCTTTTATACGTCTTAAGTTTCATTTTTCCAAAAGAAACCAAAATAACCTAGCAGTAGTGTGTCTAAAAATGGCCCCACTTTGAACCTACTGAGTTCTTTCTCTAGAAATTAGGTTAGCCAGTGCCAAGTGTCTGTGTCCACACAGTAAGATACAGCAGCATGTCTAAAGAGCTGCTGTCATGTGTGGGGACAAGATGAATTGTTAAGGTCCTGGGTATTTTATTTATATTATATGGCATTGAGGAAATTACTAAAATAGTTATGTTACATTAATAGCACTTTTGCCATTTTTCATTTTAAAATCACTGCAGGTCACAAATGAAGCTGCACATTAATAGCACTTTTGCCATTTTTCAGTTTAAAATCACTGCAAGTCACAAATGAAGCTGGTTTTTCCCAAATGATTAGGATGCAGATGTGTATTCATTCTTTGGTGTTCTTACTGGGAAAAATTTCAGTGATGTTTGGTGTCTTTAGATTCATGCAGTTTGTTTTGGAATTACATACCTAGGTAAAACCTGGACTCTTTTCTTACAGCAAAGACCAGTAAAGCTGGAAGCAAAGATGATGGGACTAGTTTCAAAGCAGCATTACTTTCTGGTCCACCTGGAGTTGGTAAAACTACTACAGCTGCTCTGGTTTGTAAGGTGAGGTCATGTGAACAGTTGTTCCTAGCAGTTTTTGTTATATATTAATTCTGTACAGATACAGTGTGGATGTCCCCTGAATGACCAGGGTCTGCTCTCAGCTAGTTCCACCTGCTCAGAACAGGGTTACAGGTGAAAACACCTGGATGTTTAGAGACTTTTATCAGGCTTGAGGTGAGAATGTAGCAATGGGTGTCTGTGCTTGTTTCTGTTACACTAAGAGGAAACGTATCACAGGATGTCCAACAATTGGAAATGGTTTTGCAAAATTGTGCGTGTTCAGCACTGGCTCTGCAAATTGGAGAATATTTGCACTGAATTTAGTGGGAGTCAAATTCTGGCAAGCTTTTTGAAAGCCTAAAGTCATGGGACTGACACGTTGAACTCAACCTAAATTGCAAAATTGCTTTAGGATGAGAGGAGTTTTAGGGCTGTGTGTCCATTTCTAGATCTGAATTTAGAAATTGTTTCTTCCTAAGATACTTGAACACTGTGTTCACTATACAGTTGGTAGGGAATCAGCCAAGAACTCCATATTTTAGAAATACCATTAAAGCTGATTTATTAATAGCATTGTTGTAACAAAGTACAGATTATTTTTGTTTTTTGACGTTTTTTGTTTTTACAAGAGCTATCTTAGACTATGGTACTACCAGCTTGGACAGGTTCAGACCTATTGTCATCTCTCAGATCATCATGCTGGGGGGGAGTGATTGCTTTAATATTAGAGTTGTATAGAGTTAACTCAATTCCCACACCTCCCCCACCACTCTGCCTTAGAGATTTGTGCCAACAAGTTGATGCCACACCCAGAAATAGACTTTTAGAAAAGCTGGATGTGCTGTCCTGGGCTCATTTCTCTCAAAGCATGAGCTTTCCTGCTTCTGTTTTCCAACCTGACTTGCTCACAGCTGCTGCAGGTCTCTGCAGAGCATTTCACAGGATTGAACCCACAAAACTGGGTTGCTGAGGCTGTGTGCAGCTCACTGCTGTGCTGTGACATGCCCCTGGCAGGGGACTTTGCTGCTAACAGAGCAGTTGGGTTAAGTTCCTTCAGGGTCTGACATCCATCCCAGCCCGTTTTGAAGCCTTAGTGCTGCTGTGTTTGCTGTCAGTTAAATAGTTAAAAGCTTCTCTTTCCTGCAGCCTTCATAGGAATGTGGTATGTTTCCTTGTTATGCAGCTGGAAATACCATGGAGCTTAGCCAGCCTTGGCTCATAGCTCTGTTTCTATCCCCTGTGGCAGTCTTCTTAATCTTCTAGAACTAAATCTGTGCCACTGACTCCAGCCCTTTCCCATCCCCCTCCAAAAAAGAATACTCTCTTTTGGTCCTGTCTGTTCTGTGTGTAGTTATAAATATTTCTGGAGTGCAAGAGAAAAATGAGTATGAGGAGAAAGGAAGCAAAGCCACAAGCTGTATGTGAGCAGAGTATTGTCAGAGCTTTCTTCTGGAACTCTGAAATAGTGTGTCTGAGTGTGCATGTGCTTTTTCACTGTTCTGTATTCTCACTTTTTGTGTGGTTTCTGTTTGGATCAGGAACTGGGCTATAGCTATGTGGAGCTGAACGCCAGCGACACTCGCAGTAAGAACAGTCTAAAGGAAGTAGTTGCTGAGTCACTTAGCAACACCAGCATCAAAGACTTCTGTTCTGGTATGTCTGTTGTTTAAAGGAGGATTTTTGTTGTATTAAGAGTCTGGTTACAGGAGGGGCAGAGCTTCCTTATTACACAACAGTGTTAGGAATTTACCTTGCTTGTCACGTGGAGGGATCTGCTCTCATAGGGATGGGTTCATTTAGTAAGCTGTTTTATTTCCTCTTCAATTTAGAATTAAGTCCTGCTAGTTGTAGAATTAGTTGTTAATCTGCACAAACTACTCAAGAACTCTGCAGTTGCTCCTCTGTTCTGTGGGACTTGTTTCTAGGAGGGTGACACGAGGTTATAGTCTGGTCTGTGAACATAGATTTTCATGTAATCAAGTGGCAGAGCAAGAGGTTCACCACCACCTCGATTGCCTAGGATGGGGTTACCTAACCTATAAAACATTGGGTAAAACTCTGTCTTATTCCCATCTCATTTTCTTATCCATATTCATTTTCAGGCACATCCTCATCAGTTAGCGGGAAACATGTATTGATCATGGATGAAGTGGATGGTATGGCAGGCAATGAAGACAGAGGAGGGATTCAGGTGAAACCACTATAGCTTCTAGCTAATGCCATTGCTAACAGTGCATACCATATATAGCACAAAATATCCAGGCCATTCTACTGTCTTCAACCCATGGTCCATAAACAGAAACTCTCTGTACAGTCTCACCTGTTGTAGAAGTCTTTGTGTAAGAATTGCACACTGATAGAAGGAGTAAAAAAGATACTTGTGTAGAAGCCTGGAGTGATGAACTTGGGTGGGTGCACTTCAGAATAGGTGTATTTATCCTAAGGTCTCTCTAAGCTGACATCTACCTGCAGTGGGAGTTTTATAATCTGGCTGAGACAGTCGCTCCTTTCTACAGGCAGTAACACTGAGTAACTTCTGTGTGGCATAGGCAGCATTATCCTTTGTTCTCCTTAGCAGCTCTGGTTTTAGCTTCTGAGGATCTCCTAGGGTCACCTGCAATACTTGGACAGTAAAGGCCACAGAGATCTTTAGCTCAGATGTAGATATCTCTGTTGCAGGAATATGAAACTGAACTGAACTTCACCTTCATTAGAGCTGGCAAAGGTTGTTCTGGCAAGCCTAGTAATGCCAGCACCTCAGGGTTGAGCTCTTTGGATAGGGAAGAGCTGGTCTTTTTACTTCTTGCTCCTTCATTCATTGTGGCAGAGTGCAGCCAGAAAGCTGTGTGCTCCCTGTGGGCATAGGCCACGTTGAAATGGCCTTTGGAGAAATGAATCCAGTTCTGCATATGGATAGCTGTGCTCTGGGCTATTGATCCTCATTGCTTCTTGAAGAATATTCCAAACCTGATTGCTGGAAGTAGACTGTGGCAGTGTGTAGGCAGCAAATTTATTGCAGCTGAATATAACAGCAAGTGAAGAAAATAGGTGATGGGGCTAGGTTTGTGCTGTGTACAAATGTGGTTACAGTAGGGGGAGTTTTATAGACTTGGACTTGTCAAGGATCTCATTTAAAGCAGGGACGAATGCTGCTTGGTATGATACTTTAATCATTCTTACCCAAGTTATCTGATGTAATTATCACCTGTTTAAACCACAGGAGCTGATTGGTTTGATTCGCCACACGAAGATTCCCATCATTTGTATGTGCAACGATCGCAACCATCCCAAAATGCGTTCCCTGGTGCACTACTGCTTGGATCTTCGTTTCCAGAGACCTCGGCTAGAACAGATCAAGGTAAGGCTGTGGCTGTATGGGCTGCACTGAATGGCCATCAGTAACTTCTGTGCTCATGGGGCAAAATTTGTATGGAATTGGGTGCATTGCTTAATGGATCATCTCAGTGAGTAACTCTGCTTTTCAAAATGGGCCGAGTTGTTCTTCCCAAGGAACGAAGTATCCCAAAGCCTTCTGGATTTTAGATGTCTATCTTACAAATATATCCAAAGTGTTGGGGTTTTTTTTTTAAATGACCATGCACTTTTTTACACCAATGGCAAGCAATGTCTTACATTTGAGAGAGAGTCTGAATTATTTGTGCTTTATAAAATTAGAAATATGTGACGCTCATTCATAGATGTGTCAGTGTGTTCCACAGGGGGAAGAATCCATAGGGATTCTGTCGTGACAGTTTCTCAATTATGTATTCCAGGGTGCCATGATGTCTATTGCATTTAAAGAAGGTTTAAAAATTCCCCCACCTGCTATGCAAGAGATAATCCTGGCAGCAAATCAGGACATCAGACAGGTCAGTACCAATTCTGCATCGGTTTCTGTTTCAGGTAGCACATCATGTGCACTGACTTCAGTGTAGTATTGGAACAGTATTCTTATTTTTATGTATTAAGACCATGCTGTTTCTGCTTGAGTGTTCCATTTAAATCCTATTATGCTACCAGATTGTAAATTTTGTTCTTCAGGTTTTACATAATCTTAATATGTGGTGTGCAAAGGATAAATCTTTGACTTACGATGAGGCTAAAACAGATGCTGGCAGAGCCAAAAAGGATATCAAACTGGTAAGTGTAAAGTACTGGATTGGCTTTTATTGTCATTTCTGATATAATCACCAGTCTTTATAAGAATCTTTGAACTAAAGCACTGAATTAAAGCCTAGATGCAGGGAGCTATCACATTTGCCATGAATAGTTGAAGAGTAGTAAATCTAGGACCAAGTATATATTTTGATGTACTGTTATGTAAGATGTAATTATGAAGCTCTTACTTCTCATCCTGAGTCCTCTGTGGGAGATCATTCTCTTACTATTAAAACACAGTTCTGAAAGCTGGTAAAGTTCTAGGGAGGAAATAGTGAGCATGGAACTTGCACTGATGAGTTGAGATGTTCTTGGGTCCATCACTAATTTTGTTGCTGTTGTGCTGTGTCTTACTATTTGCTGCTACCCACTGACTTTTTGATGCACCATTTACTTAGGGCCCATTTGATGTTGTCCGGAAGGTCTTTGCCACTGGAGAGGAGACGTCTCGTATGTCTCTTATAGACAAATCAGATCTTTTCTTCCATGACTATTCCCTAGCACCTCTCTTTGTCCAAGAGAACTATGTGCACGTGAAACCAGCTGCTGCTGGGTGAGTTACTCCATACCCTAAACTGACACAGGCTTTCGTGTCAGGGAGCCAAAGTAGACTAAAACCTACCTGGATATTTCTGTTTTGTAATAAAGTAAAATATTTTTTTTCCTAGAGGAAATATGAAAAAGCACTTGGTGCTCCTGAGCAGAGCAGCTGATAGCATATGTGATGGTGATATAGTGGACAAACAGATTCGTAGCAAGCAGAACTGGAATCTTCTTCCAACACAGGTGAGTGCGTAACACTCATTTCATGTTCTTTATGGCTGTTTGGTGTTGAAGACTGATCTGTGGAAATTGGTGTGTAGTATAATTTTATGGCTTGTATAATTGATACTTCATGTAGTATTCTCTGTTCCACTGGTGATTAGAACAGTTTCCCATATTCATATTGCTGAGCCCATGCTGTAACATGAAATGAAGTCTTCTGAAACTATGAAAAGCTTGAATCTTTGTTATGAGGCATAGGAGCTCGTGGTGCATATCACTTCTGAGGTGTGGCTACAAGCCTACCCTGTGCTTCCTTATGCCAGCCTCTCACCAGGGCAGGATTTCTCCCAAAGCACTGAAGCTGTGTCTCTGTACTTCTTTTAATGATTACTGAAACATTGACAGGACTTGTGCTAAAGGATGATGAGTGGCATCAGAGAAAATGCATTGTAGGTGAAGCTGGAGGTCATGTAGTTCACCTCTGTGCTTAGTGCAGGTCAGAGATGAGTTGCTTAGGAATGGAGCTAGCTGAGTTTGAGCAGATTCGTGGTGGTGTTTGGAAATGTCTCCATCACCATGGCTGTGTGCTGGAGATCACAGCCCTTGTTTGTGTGAAGTCAGCTGTTTGTCTGACCACACTCAAAACTGGACATGAGACATGAACAGGGTATTTCATGGCTTTAAAAGGCCAGGTAATTTCACAGGGTTTTTAGAATATGGTAGTGAACAGGGTGGTACCAGAGGTGGAGCTGTAACCCAAGAGGGGTTGACCAGAAACAAGCAACCAAGAGAGAGTTTACAACAAGCTCTTTCCACTCTGGGGCTGCATTGACAACCCCTTGTGTGTGGAGCAGTAGGGCAGTGTGTCATGGTGTCAGAGAGACTAATTCAGTGTGATTTGAGTTTGGCATGTGTGTTACTTTTTCAGGCTATTTATGCAAGCGTTCTCCCAGGGGAGCTAATGAGAGGCTACATGTCCCAGTTTCCTGTCTTTCCCAGCTGGCTGGGGAAATTTTCATCCACAGGCAAACACGATCGGATCGTTCAAGAACTGGCAATGCACATGAGTCTCAGGTAGTACTGACATTCCTCTTCTGGTTTATGGTGATGCAGTTAGTTCTTGTTGAGTTCATTACCAGCTATTAATTCCTTGCTCTGCTTAGTGTACAAGCAGGTGACACATTGATATATTCTGGGCATATGCTCATATATTGTAGATGACACTTTTCTTAGTGCTTAGTCTGGACAAAGCTCAAATTGCAAACACTTTTAGTGTAGTCAGCAGTACATTTCTCAGTTAGGGATGTGTTTTCCCCAGACTGTTTGGTGTTGGAATACCTTGCATTGGTTATCTCTAATGCAGGTATGGAATGGCACAACAGAACTTGCAGTTAGCCCCTAAGGCAGCTGGTGGTCCATTTGCTGAGGGCCTCCTAACCTACTTTTTGCTTGTCTTTAGAAGTCAGTGGTGGTGGTTGTACAGATTTACTTACTACTTTGTATTTGACAAAGAACCCAGGCATGCAAGAGAACAGTGAATATGGAGTATTTGCCATATTTACGGGATGCACTCGTTCAGCCCTTGAAAGACTTTGGAGCAGATGGTGTACAACAAGCCATAACATTTATGGACTCCTACTGCTTGATGAAAGAAGATGTTGAAAATATCATGGAAATAGGCACATGGGGAGGAAAACCCAGTCCTTTTTCAAAGCTGGATCCCAAGGTAAAATTCCTTTTTTTTTTTTCCCCCCCCTTTTCTTTCATATCTTAAAAAAGACATCCTAGAGTAATAGCTGTGGTGTGGATGTGCTGCTGAAGTTGATGCAGCTGCATATTAACTATGTATCTTTGGCCACAACTTTTCCAAAGGAAAGATGATGTGGAATCTCTTACTAAGAGTTGGTTAGATAACAAGCTACAGTTCCTAAGCTGATGCTCAGTTTCCTTCCTTCCAACCTGACAGGTCAAAGCAGCTTTCACACGGGCCTACAACAAAGAGGCACATCTGATTCCATATTCACTTAATTCTGCCAAGGCATCTAAAAGGCAGTTGAGCTCTGGCACCACCTCAGAACTGAGTGAAGATTTGAATGCGCAAGAGATCCAGTCTGATGAGGAAGAGGAAGATACTGTTGAAAGTGATGCAATGATTAAGGTAATTTAGTTTCCTCAGTATTACACCACCACACTTTAGTGTGGTGGTTATTTTTTGGTTTAGTTACTGTTCTGGGGACTTGTAACATTAACTGAATGAATTTTTCAGAAAATCACAGTAGATAGTAATCTGTCAAATTCTAAATTTTTAACGGGTGGTAAGGTGAAAAAGTCTTGTCATTTCCATCCATTGTCTTCTGCTTGGATGTTGGACAAAGTGAGACATCACTTAAACCTTAAACAGACATCACTGTAACCTCATGAATGCTGCATCCAATTCCAAAACTTAGTGTTATTTTAGGTATTGGTGGGGACAGTGGCAAGGAGCAGCCAATAGACATTTCAATGTGGTTATCACAAATGACAATTCTTAGTAATACTTTTGTATGTATTGCCAAATGAGGAACTGTGTTCAGCCCTTGGGACTGAATACTGTAGAGTCTGTACTCTCCATGGCATTTATGGTGGCTTTTCCTTTAGCACTGATTGCATTTTGACTTACACTTTTGTCAGGTTGCAGCTGGATTTAAACTGTCTGTATATTCTGTTTGTAGCAAAAAAAGGTGAAGTCTTCCAAGCTGCCAAAAAGAGAGAAAAATGAAGAAGCAACAAAAAAAGAAGGGAAAAGAAAAGAGAAAACAAGACATTAAACAGAGTTAAAATCTTGCTTTGGATGCAGCTTTGCCTATCTGACTTCTGGCAGGAACATGAAACAGATCCAGTGCTGCAGCCAGGAAAGTAGAACCAGTGTGTTGAAAAGGCTCCTCTTATAGAGGTGCTGTAGCCACTGTACTCTCACCTGCTGCACCTACCCTTAACATGGTACATGTTACAAGCTATAAATACCCTTGTGCAACAAACCAGGTGCGTGAACATGCTGAAAATGTGATGCTTAGTTCCCCTGGTATTTCTGCTGAGTCTTCCTAGGACTTCACTAATTCCTTTTTGGTTTTTTATAAATCCCCCTGACATTGTGGTGAAGTCTTGTAAATAGTACCTGATGCAACACTCTTCAAGCATAAATTGCCTATTTGTACATTATAGATATTAAGCAGTATATAAAAGTACAATAAAATGTTTCCCAGGACTCTCTTTAAAAGTTTTGGTAAAACTCATGGAGCATTCTGTCCTGTCTCACTCCTTCCTTCCTCCTTTGTCTTTGGTGCAGGTAGAATGCAAATCATGCTTGGTAAGAATTATCAGTTTTATTACTACAATAAATCAAAGTACAAAATTTATCAAAAGCAAAATATTTACAAATACCACAAAATAGAAGTGATATGGTTATCATTAGACCTGTGTGGGGAAAAGCTGTGTCCTGTAGTGATAGAGCTTTCCTTGCTGCTTGCCAGCCAACTCCAGCAGTTCTGAAAATAAACAGAGGTGGTTAGTCACAGACACTGAGATTGCAGACTGCAACGTTTTCTCAGACCAGGAAAAGAAACAACTGAACCCCCCCAAAGTTTATTGTGATGTATATAACTTAGAGTATCACTTGCATTACTGTGACCGACAGGTGAGTTTTCACCAAAGGTGTTTGTACTAATAAATCTGCCTTTAAATGTCAAAATTAATGAACTTCAACTCATTTTCAGTTACCATTTCTTTAACAAAACTGAAGTCTTGGATCAAAGGTGTGTGGTATAGACAAAGCAGTGATCTCAGTCTTTGAAATATGAGTATTTCAAGCCAATACTTGTTGCTGTTATCCTGGGATCTACTCTGTTAAACTTATATGTTAAGGTCATGTAATCTGCATTTTCAGATCTGCTCCATCCAGTTAGCATCTCTCTCCCTACTCTTAAACCCTTGTTGAAGGATCTGTAGAAGGATTTGATGCTTCTGAGATCTTCAGGCTGTTCTCTGTGCTACTAAAGTACACCTGGTGTTGAGGAACATGTTCCAAACCAGAACATCCTGCAGATGTTAATGTGATCACAGAGGTAAACTGGGTTAAAGCCCAAATTTACAACCAGGTCAGTCACAGTAACAAAACCTACTGGTGTTTGCATTCCTGAGGACACAGAGGTGATAGAGCTAGTACTCAGTTACCTGAGGCATATACTCAGGCTGTAACTCAGGATTCCTTGCTGGGAAAACCTCCCACTGTCCTCTAGAATGAGCCTTGTTAAGTAAAAAATGGAGACTCTAGCACATACCTGAGTTTATTTGTCCTCATCTTGCGGTTTGAGGTACTCTGTGCAGTCATTTATTTTCTGAAGATCAATGATGTTAATCCTTTCTGAACACATGGGACACACATTTTCAGTCTGTAACATGCTGTTTTAAAGAAAAGGTAACTGGTCAAATGCTAATTCTGACATTTTTCTGAGCAAGAGCTGGGCCTGAGGCAGAAAGCCTAGAGCAGAGTTCTGTCCTGTGCTGTGTAACAAGTGCAGGACAGAGCAACAGCTGCTTCTGTCTATGTGGAGCAATGGTTGGTTTGGGTTTTTAACATTTGAGAACACACTACAGCAGGAAGGCTGCTCCTGTTTGCAGTGAACGAGCACATTTTGGCAATTAAAACATACACAACAGAGCTAAGGCTAAAGCAGGGACCTTCAGCACTTCCCAGTTCCTGACACTGGAGTTTTGGCAATTAAAACATACACAACAGAGTTAAGGCTAAACCAGGGACCTTCAGCACTTTCCAGTTCCTGACACTGGAACAGAGCTATGCAGTCCAGTTCTCACACAGATGATTACCAGGGGCAGGAGACTACTGCTGCCTTAGTCTGTAGCCAATTCTCTGTGTGTATATTGTTTTGGTGACTGTTGCTGTGTCTGTGTTTCTGCCCTGCCACCATATCACGCCTTCTTCCCAGCAGGAGCTGAGCACTTTGATAAGCTCCCCATCCACCTTGCTTACTGACTGAAGCCCTGTTGGGGCCCTGTGGCACTGGCAAATTCCTTACTGCAGCTTTTGGTTGGCTTTGAAGCAATGTTCTGTAAGTATCTTAGGTGAAACAGGTTGTTTTTCCACCCACTCTAGCTGTTACATGTTTTTAGTACCAAGTGAAACTGCTGCTAAAATAGGAACAAACACTGGGAACCTGCACTAAAAAAATAAATCCCAACTTACTTCTTGAATTCTGAGTAGAGGGCAGGAAAGTTGCAGTGTGGGCAAACGGTCCAGTCATCGCGTACCATGTGCCGACCCTGCACACAAAAACCACAAGGAATTAGGTGGCAAGTGCTGTCCCAGTACAGAGAGCATTTACTTTTGTACCTGTTATGCTGAAAAAGTTTCAGTAACTTGAGTTTTAAGATCTTGAATCAAGCCCCAAACTAGTGTAGTTTGATTACTGTGTAAATTCTAACTCATCTCAGAGATGCAGTGTCTTCATTATCATTTGCATTCCTCTTGAAAAAATAAGTCTAAGAATATACTGAATTACAGCTTTTAAATTCTTTTTAGTTTGGCAATTACAGAATGCTATTTGTGGATCTCTCTCCAGAGCTGTACCTAAACCTGAGATTTTTTGGTGTTGTGACATACCAAAACATGTCCCCAAAGCTGCATTACCTGACCCAGCAGATCATACTCAACACTCTCAAGTTTGTGAGCATAGTCCCTGCCTAGTATTTGCCTCTTTAAATAGAAATAATTTTTTCTTTTATTGTACAGTTTACTAATTGACTTTTGATAGAATTCATATTACCTTTTCAATATTATAAAAACACAGCAGCACCTTGAACTATTACTGAGAGATTTATGTTGTAATAGGATATGCAACAGAAGACTTTTGACACTGACTCTCAGAGATCTGAAAATGCCACATTCCTAATGATGTTACAAGTACCTGTGATGTAAATGAACTATAGCCAAGATGAAGCCTAAATATATAATGTGAAACATACATTAGCATGTACATTGCTTGGCTCATAAAGTTATATTTAAAATACTTTGGTTTTTTTTCCTTATGATACCTGCACTGTACCTGTCATCTCACTCTGCTAAACCAATAGAGTAAAAAAAATCCACCTAATGGATATTCATTTTTTGTAAGATATAAATATTTAGTTTTAATAAAGAATGTTAACTCTAACATTTGATTCCTGCTCATGTAAGTTTATTTTCATTAGGTTCAAGTGAACTGTCATACTAGAATTACAGAAAAAAACCAAGTCTTAGTTATACAGTAGCTATATAGTAACTTCCACTGGGAATGTGCCCCATCCTGACCTTTTCAGTACACTCTAAAATATCCTGAAACAGAAAACATCAGAATTTCTCATTTCTATAGGGATCAGTAATGTAAGAAATGCTGAGATCACTGGCTGAGGCCTTACTTAAGTTTAATGTGCTTTAAAATTCTGTTATACTCTGAGCATTCCCTAGAACAAACTTTTGGAGTTTTGTCAGTTTTGGGTTGGTTTGCCTTTTTTAAAAAAATTTAAGTCTTGGCAGCTTGGAGTTCAGGGGAGGAGAGCTGTGCCCTCCACAGTCCTGTCTTATTCTTGCAAATATGCATGTGCTGGGGATTCCTGGTGCCCCATCTGACTTCTCAGGAAGATGCAAGTCTTCCAAAATGACTTCTTGATTTTATTGTCACCCTTAACTGCCTGCTCCTTGTAGGTGGCAACTAAGGACACAACAAGAATGTTTTGCTTATTTGGTAACAGATGAGAAAAGGGCACAAACCAACCCATAAAACATCTAGCTTGGATCTACAAGCAAACCAGAGATGTTCAGATGGACTTACTTTGAGAAGGGAAGAAAAGCTTTGCCTCATTGTCACACTGCAGAAAACAGAGCAGACACTCACCGTTGCAATGCAGTAGGGGAGGTTGTTTTTACAGCTGGGACACAGAAGCTCATACTCTGGGAGTTGGAACACACAGTAGGGACAAGCTGCTGTTGGCTCTTCTGTCTCAGCAGTCTCTCGACGTCTGAGAGAGAGATACAACTGGGAGTAAAACCCTCAAGCTGTTTGAACTTGAACAAAGCTGTTTTATAATGCCTTTGATATTTAGCTAGTGTTTTTCCTTTGAGTTATTTGCATAGCTTCCAGCTGCTGTTTTTTTTATTCTACCAGCTCATTCCTTTGAAGTATCACCCCAGCTCCATCACAGTTATGTAAACTTGGAAGTAGGTCATTTCCCATCTAATTAGAAACAATACAACCTTTTTAAAGCCATAACAGATCCTAAGACTTTGAAAGCTTTCAAAACTCATGATGTATATGCACCGACTATAAAGCTATGGTTTGACTAGTTCAGAGTTTTTCTATGGCAGGAATGACCACAAAGAACTGGAATAACAACAAAAAAAAAGGCTTTGTGGTAGGACTATACACCTTGTAACTGTCTTTCACAGGTCTGTGTTCATCCAAGCATCTGCCAGAATGATGGCATTCCATATTTGAGACAGTGAAATAATATGGAAACAGGATAAAGCCTGTGGTCTTCATCAGCAAAACCAGCATTACAAATAAAGCCTAGATATTGTGCACATTTGAAGGCACAGATTAACACTGCTCACCTGACCATTGCTTCGATCTTCTTCTTGTATTTGGGATCTATTTTATTCCGGTACTCAGGTCTCATCAACATAGCAGCAAAACTGAAGGCTGAGTTCTTCAGTCCTGCCCTGTGACACTCGATGACAGTTGAAGTCAAAATGGGCACAATGTCTGGAACAGAATGGAACAGTGATGCCCAATTAGTGATATTAATGTTGAGAACCTTTGAGCTGATATGGCTAAAAAGGTACTGATCTAAGAGGTCAATCAGCTCAGTAGTGCAGTTTTGGTGGGTGAGCACAGATCAGACTGCTGGTGAGGAACTCTCCTGTGGAGAATGGCAGAGCACACTGTGTGGGTACCCTCTGTTCTGACAGGATCACAGGAGGAAAATGACCCTTCCAAGGCAATGCTGAGGAATGACTTGCCCTGTCAGCACTTACGTGATGGGAACTTGCTGATGTTGTTGGCCACACGGATAAGCATCCGTGCTCCTTTGATGTGATCCCCACGTCTCACATGGATCTGGAATACAGCAAACACACAATTACTGCAGCCACTGGAGTCTAATTCCTGCCCCCTCCCTTGGCATTCATCCTGCTGGGAGCTGCACACCCACAGATCTTCATGACACTGAGCAGAGTTGTGCTGGAGAAAGGAGCAGAAACTTGAGAGTGGCTCTTTCCCAGAACAGCCTTTCTGGCCTCCAGCCCAGGATTTGCAGACTTTTGCTGGAAGAGAGGGAGGCCAGAAGCTTTCTGGAGGCTGAATGGATATCCTGATGGGCCATGGGTTAACTGCTAGAAATCATTTGAGCTCCCTGCAGTGATCGACTTATGAACAACAACAACACCACTAACAGTTGTACTAGTAGCACAATATCTGTAAGTATGAATGCCAAAGAAATACAGGCAGCCCATATGTAATTTTGAATTATTCAGGATTAAAAATGAAAACCAGCTAGTCCAAGAGGCAGAAACAAGCCCAGACTGTCCTGCTGCAGCTTGCTGATAGCATGCATTTGGACTCTGTGACACAATCTATATGACAATGTAATTTAGCATCCACGTGTACAGTTTGATAAATAGAGACTGTGCAAGTTATGCATAAATTCACTTTCTCAATTCTTTACCTTCACTAAAATATAGCTGTGTAGAATCATCAGGTTTGTAGCCATCTCAGAAGAAATTTTAATCTTCTGGGTCTTTAACTCTAAATACATACTGAGAAGGACATCATGTGCATTTCGGTAGTTTCCTTAAGGAAAAAACAACAATGAACAGTAAATTTAACTTTTCATAACAATTTCTTTAGTAATGACATATACAGAAGCTGCACAGGAAGATATGTCAATTCTTAGAGTAAAACTCTTGCATTACAGTTTCTTTGGAAAGCCACAAGCAGTGGTTTGGCACAGTATCCTAAACAGTATCAGCCAGGGAGTTAGTTAAGGAAAAAAAATTGCACTTAGAGAAATAATCTAAACAGTAGCAAAACACACACAAACTTTAAAAGTGGAAGATGCTGTACCCAGTACTTGGCTTCCACAAAAAAGAGGGGAAAAGGTGTTTTTAGAGCATTTAGAGATGTGTTTTCTTTTTGTTCTCCAATGTCTGATACTCAAAAGCTGTTGTTTAAATCTTAACATACTTTCACTTGATCATTTGCTCTGGCAACTCCTTGCCTCTGCAACCAAACAAACCCAAAAGCTGTCAAGAGATAATTAAAATCTGAATGTTAATTCACTAGATTACACTGCTTCAAGGTTACTGTCAAGGATGCTCCAGAAACCACAAGATTGCATTAAATTGTCAACATAGTTGAAAACCACTAATGTTTAGTATGGTTAGTCTAGTTTTTAATAGCTGTTTGTTCCTGCTTTGTTTTGGGGTTTGTCTGGTCATTTGTTTGGGGATTTTTGGTGTTATGAGTCTGAGGAAGCCAAACTGTTTGCAGCTGGAGGCATTTAAAGGAAATTTCAGATTCCTCTATTTCAGGAAATGTTTTCCTTTGTCTCTCTCTATTTCACTATTAGCAAATGGTTTTACTCTCTAGAGCAATCTGTGATGTGTTGTTATACACTACAATTGAATCAAACTGTGGAATTTGTGTGAGGCAGCTAAATACCACCCTGGAATTAGTTGCTGGAAAATAACATTTCTTTTTCAGGCTGTGTTACTGACTCTCAGTGTAATGCTCTCAGTCTTAAACTCTGCCTGAAAATCGTGTGATGACATAAAAACAACTTCAAGGAAAATTGCACATGAAGTGGCATACCCGAAGAAAAATAACAGTATGACTTAAATATCACATTAAATGGATTTTTAAGGAAAGAACAAACTATATTGCTGCAAACTTCAGAATCAAACTCACTGAAATCTGCTGAAGGAAGAGGGGGATGATCTAAAACTGTATTACTGTGAGACTGGTCATTTTAATGAAGCAAATACTGTATTTCTTATGACACTGTTGCAGAACATCTATACTACTAAGGAGTTATTTCTTATGACACTGTTGCAGAACATATCTATACTACTAAGAAATGAAATACAGTATAGGATATTGCATTTTAGATACATGTTTTCAGATTCAGAGTAGCTAGTAAATATTTAAACCCTTGAGCCTTTGCATTTCCTGCTTACATGATTAGCACAAATGCATTATTTACTACTGTGATGGATTGGGAGATTATGCTTGCCAAAGGTTTAAAAAGTTTTCCCATTTCTTAGGCCAATGCTGAGGAGCAGCCCATAAATATTAATTTGCCTGGGCTGCTCCTGAAGCTGCTATTTTTCCCTTATAGATTATTTTTATATAATTGAAATGAAAAGAAAGCACTGTTAGGGTAGGGTAGTTGCCATGGCTACAGAGGAGCGTGGGTAATGGAGGTGATAGTTATTTTGCTTCTAGTCCTGTCTCTTATTTTTTTTCTATTTCTAAATTAAGCTATCCATTACAGGGAAAAACAAGGCCTAAGTAAGCATGTGTCTGGTCCTTCAACAGAAGTCACTGCCTGAGCACATCTTTCACTGAAAAAAGTCATGTGCAAAGGCTAAAGGATCAGCATCCGAGTCAGAAACCATGTGTAGAAACTACAATTGTATGATCTGTCATACACAGAAAGTTAAGCCACAGCCAATCTCAATCACTGAATGCAATATACAGGTATTTTCCACCAATTTCTTTTTTTGCCCAGTATTTAATACACAGATGTGAGTCCCAAAGGCTACTGTTAATTCAAAACTCAATTTGAATACAGTTAAAATCACCAACATTAACATCTCTAAGTATAATCCTACATCAATAACACTATCCTAAGCACTGCAAGGAGGTGAGATTAGACACACCAGAGGGCACAGACTCACCTGAGCACTGCTCCTCCCTGGCAATGATTATAGCAGTCCTGGCAGCATCTTCATATTTCTTCAGTGCCATGTACAAGCGGAACAGGTACTTGGCATCCTTAATGCAATCAGACAAGAGCAATTAATACTGACCAAACACATACTGCTGCTCCTCCCTCTCTTCACCTGCTCATCCCACCACCACACACTCCAAGGAAAGCAGACAAACTGCCTTGTTTTGTGAAGAGCTCTTTGTCTCCACAGGCTTTAGCTGTGCCACGTTCGCCTGCGAGTTCTGGCTATCGGTACGGTCACAGACACCCACACTGAGGACCCTAAGGGAGCTGTGCAAGTTTGTTCCTAACCCCTGTCAATACACTTTGTTCCTAATCCCTGTCAATCCAGATGCAGAAAGCCAAAGGAGAGCTGTACAGGTGGAAACCCAACAACTTCCCAAGTGTGGGCATTTATGGTGTCAGAAGATAACCAAAGGATTCCTTTTAGAAATAGAAGTCTTGCTAGAAAGGTCTAGATGTAAACATTTCTTGATGTGGCTAAGGGGGCCAAAATCTGGCCATTACAGAGTGTATTGTTCTGGGACCAGGTGGTAGACATTCAAGAGCTAAAAACCTGAAAATTAGGGGGCAATCAGCTAACAAAATGCCTAAAATTTATAACTCGCTACACTATGTAATTTTGATGGAATATATGATTTGAATATGGCAAATGTAGCAAAGGGTTCACCCAAGAACTGGCAATCCAACAGCAAGAAAAGTAAGTGGAATAATTTTAAGACAGAACTAAAAAACCAAGATGACAGTATTGGAGAAAACAAACCATTCTATTTTTGTAAAATGTACTCAAATTTCTAGAAGACTAGTTAAAAAAAAGAAAGAGCAACAAGAGAAAGGAGAATTGGGTCTCAAAAGTAAATCCTCAAAAGAGGTTATTGCTAAAAATACAGCTACAATACAAAATAAAATGACCTTGCTGATGTTGAAAAGGAACTATTAAGTGAAAAAAATGTAGGCTAGTGTCACAATTTTATATCTTTAGCAGTGATTTCTAAAATGGGATCAATAAAAAGTAAAGTCTGTCCATGATAATCTTTTAATGAGTAAATCAGAATTAAATTAGGCTGAAATATTGTATAAAATGGTATGATTCCAACTTAAATATACACATGAAAAAAAGAGACACTGGTAGCTTTATAGACAGCTTAGCTTACAAAACAACTAATTCTGATTTACAATGTGTTATTCTGTGTTAAAATGTGACAAAACCTTTTACACAAAGAATTGCATTAACCAAAGTTGTGCTATTCTCTGGATTACCATGTGGGTTTTGTATGTAAGTCTCAGACACAAGAAAAAACAGAAATTCAAAGGAATATAAATATGAAAGACAGAAGATGTTTCTTTACAGAGAAGATGACTGCAAAGATTAACCTGCCACTTGAGAAGCAAAGGGAGAAAAAAAGGGCAAAAAAGGACAGAAATAAAAGCAAGAGAGAAAGACTGGCACAAAGAGTAAAGGGAAGAAAAACTCTTCTTTTTAACTTGCAATATAAGGGAAACCATTAAGTGATCAAAAGTAACTACTGTTAAACTAATGATGGAGTAGAATTTTGAGTAACACATGAGCAAAAGGTCAAACATCTTAAGAACTGTAATTTAACAATGATGAAATAGCTAACTGGATGATAAAGTAACCACAACTACTGATATTAGCAGACATTATTTATCCTCTGTAAACTGCCTTAAAAAGGAAAATTGCTATTCCCTGAGTGGGGTAAAACAAAAACCATTAAGCACAGTAGGTTATGATGTAATTTTTCCCAAATTCTGACAGCACCTCATGACCACAGGTGACTGTTCCACTGATGACAGCAGATATTTCCCCATCCAGGCTGCTTTTCCCTGTCCCCTGCACAGCAGGAGAGGATCCTGTCCCAGCATGGACCAGTGGTTTATTTGCCATGTCTCTAATTATATTTTACTTAACTACTATTTGTAAATTACTTGCATAGCAGCCACAAGTAGAAAACCAAATAAAAGTAGAAGGCATTTAAGAAAAATTAGTCTCATGTTTTACTTTCATATTCCTACCTTTAAAGTCAGTAAGTTTAACAGCAAACAATGCAAGAAAGAATTTTATACTGACAATACATTTCCTAAGGTGGTTGGAAGGTTTGTTATTGCAATCTAACTGATCTCAATATTAGGCAAATGTGATTTTAATTTAATTTTGCTTTTTAAAACACACATACTCAGGAAATATGCACACAGCAAGCAGCAGAACCTTGCTAGTTTATGCTCCCTGAAAGAACACACATGACAAATCAGGAATCTTTACATGTAAAAATTAACAAATACAACAGCTGACATAACAACATGTTTAAGAAATAGTTTATAATCAGATAATAGTGTAGCAAAATTGTGGTGAATACAGTAATTTTGGGAACATGGTACTTCATTAAAATGCCACTTAATTGTTGGCTGTGGAAGATTCCAGGCAATCAGCCTGCTCTGAGTGATGATCTGAAGATCAATGCTTGACATGATTAGCAAGTTTCTGCTGCATGTCTACTTTGAACTTCACTAACTTTCAGCTTTACAAAAATGCCACCACATAGAAGCTGCTATTTGCTAAAAACAGCCCCGTTTGCTTGGTAAGTTCAAAACAGCCTCCACAGCATAATAAAGATGAATTGTTTTTAAAGCAATTTTTAGAACAAATGTGTATGATTTGATAAAGTAAAATTTTGTTACTCACTGAGAGAGACTACAGTAGATTGGATTAAAGCATTCAGAAGAACAAGAAAGAGCTTTTAAACAAGGAAAAGAAAGCTCTACATTGAAGTTCAAAACAATGTTAAATATGGCAATTATGGCATTCACAAAATATCTAAAGTGTTTCCTCAACCTCTTCATTATGGAGATCATACTGTAGCTCACTTCCCTTATCCAGTCTCCTATTTAGCTTACTTTTTCTTCCTCTGCAACAGTCAAACTCTCACACTGCAAGAAGAGATCAGTGCTGGAGCTGCTCTGGAGACACACACATGCTGAGTGTCCACCTGGGAAAGGCAGTGCTCAGCAGGCACCAACAAACAGCTGCAGCACGAGCATTAATTTGAACCTCCTCTGGCCAACCTTCACCAAGATGACTGAAGAAAGATTATTACACCTGCAACAGTTCCTTTCCAGGATTTCTGAAACTGAAGTCCCTGGGGGAATGACTCAGGGACTGATCATACAAGTCCTGCTGCTCCTCAGTGAAACCAAACTAAAGCACAACCTGCATCTCCCAAACATTTTAAGACAAAGTTATCTCAAAAGATTCACGTGATACTCTAGCAGCAATGAAGATACAATACCTGGGGCATGCCATTATTCTCTCCTATAAGATACTCTATCAGCTGATTTGTTAGGGCTTCATCTTTAGCTCGTCCCACCTATAAATAAAGGAGGAAGAAATTATGGTATGAAAGACAAAGGAAAAATACCACAAGGAGACTTTCCATAAAACACCGAAACTAGAGAGATTTACAATATGATTTTTTTTTTTAGTCCTGTGTGTTCAAACCAGATGATTCTTTGGTTCATCAGCTTTGACATGGAGTAGTTCATATTTATTTTCTAATGTGTTATATTGGGAACTTAAGGTCTGTTTAGGTATCATTGTAACTGATACAGTTTTCCTTCTATTTCCAATCTCTCCAAAGACATTCACTGATGCTTGGAAAATGTCACAGTGCTCCAGATAAACTTCCTGAAAAGATGAAGAATTTTTTGTTTTATCAAAGTTGCTTACTGTTTCAATTGCCATTTCTATAGCCAAGTTATCTTCTGTGCTTGGACTTTTCATAAAGTGCTTTAATGCCTAAAATGATACAGAAGAAGAGTTACAAGTCAGGCACATGAAAATAGTTTTTATCAAGTTATTTCTCTGCATTTTGACAGACAAGTGGCACACTGAATGTTTCTCCTGCCTATAGAATTAGCAGCTGCTCTTACAGATCTCCCTCCAAGAATATATTTGCCAAATTCTGGTGTACACCTTCACTCAATGTAAAAAGGTGTTCACAGAAAAATGGTGAGAGGAAATTAATGATTAATGAGCACAGGACTCCCCTCCTCCCTCAGTGCCACAGCTGAAGGAATTGTCACCTACAACAGCTGTAATCTGCAAAAATCTGTCATATTTTTTGCTATGTGTTCAGTATGCAAAAGTCAAATGTTTAATATGCATCAGTACAGTGATTTGTAACTGATCAAAAGGAATTGTGTCAATCAACATATTTCCTTTCTTAAAAAAAAAGCTTCCAGTTAGGGCATGCTATGCTATTAAATGAATTAATACAAAATATAAAAAAATTCTGTGCTGTGGATCATGATATTTAGAGTCATTGACAATAGTACATCACTGATCCACCTGATGCTTCTGCTGCCTTGAAAAGATAATGAGCACAGCAGTGAGTAATTGACAATCTGGGCAACTGTAAACATAGTTTACTTAGATTTTTACACTTTTAAAAAATATCAGTAGGTTGTCAGTTAAGGCACTTAAAATCTACTGTGAACTCCCCTGATTTTAAGTACTGTATCCTGAATAGTTTCTATGAACTTTGAACTTTCACTAATTAGCCCTCTAAGTACTGACCCGTCCATATTGGCCACACAGCAGGAAAAATTTCCCAGCCTGAAAATGTTTCTTTTCTCCTTCAAAATAGAGTGCAATGCTCTGGTAATCTTCATTGGAAGTACTTTCAGAACCTGCAACAGACACATCCCAGTGATAGCAGATATTCTTAAGTAAGATAAAGGCCCTACTGATGGACCAAATTTCTATTCTACCTTTTTTTTCCTATTGGCATTCAAAGAAAAGCAAAGTCAGACAGACTCAAATTATGCCTTATACATTTTTTCCTGTTTAATCAGACTAAATATCAGACATCAGGAGTTAATAATAGAGCTAATAATAGAGTAAAATGCTTGTTTCCACAGGTTTTACACCATAAAGGGATTTCTCACTGAGACAAGAGGAGGCCATGAAAGGCCTTAAAGGGACTACAAGACAAATGAGACAAATTTAAGAAAAGAGCTGGAACCACAACAAAAGAAAAAAGGGATAAAGTCAAGAATTGTACCAATAAAATGCTCAGTTTTGTATCAAGGTCAAAGAAAGGGATTCCTCAATGGACATGAGAAAATAGTCTAGCCAAATGTTTTATCTCTATGGATAAACAAAACAAGCTGAAGCACAGGCAAGATTTAGCTGAAACCAATTAAAAGAACAGCAAACTATGAACCTGGAATACTCACTGATGATATCAGCATAAATCTCCATCTTGTTGTGTTGTTGAGCTAATGTGAAAGCTTCATTGTTACACTTGGACATGACCAGGAACTGGATGGCAGAACCATAGTCACCAAGCTGCAGAAAGAATCTAATCAGAATGACAAATTAATACCAAAGCACTAAGTAGCATTATGAATACACCAAATGTTTTAGGAATATAGTACATTTCATGGCATATAAATAGGATACATTTCCCATTCATTTTATAGCTTGTTTATATCCTGTTTTAACTAGGTTACTAAAATGACCACTGTATAAATAATACAGCATGGCAATTTTTATTATTGTCTAAAATTGTTACTTCAGGTTTATATAATTTTAATGAGAAAGCTAAAAAAAATTTAAAAATCAGTGCCTGTTCAGCTGTCCAAATCTTAGAGAACTCAAATCAACAAACTGAAATACACAGTCTGGGCATGTACCAAGAGTCTGATATGTTAGCAGGCCTCACAAAATTCCAATAGGTTTGGCCTTTTTCACCCTTTCTTTGTTTAAGCTGTGTGACATGACTGTTACCTGGCTACCATCTTTGCTCCTTCAAGGGACTGTGTTTCCCTCACAATAGTAACAGCCTTTTCAGGGTTGTTCAGGTGATCCAAGTACAGTCGAATTACACTGTCCCACTGTTTTGCATGTTCATAGGCTATCACAGCTTCCTTGTACCTGCAAAAGAATAGTCTCCTGTCAGTTTTTCTAACTTTTAAACAGCTCTTTATAATGCTGTGTGAAAGAAACAGTACTTTATTGCTGAGAGATTACTCTGTGACATCCTCCTTTCAGTTTACAGCTAACAGCCTTGTTCAGCATTTACTATGGGTTTTTTGGTCTCTATTTCATTATCCCTTGAGAGAACAAAAAGCAGAGGCAACAGAAAAACATCTACCATGATACTATTTTCTACCTACTTCTGCCAGAATCCCCTTTTGGTATATATTAAAAGCAGTTCCATCTGTTCCATCAGCAAACATCATCTGCTCCATATGAAATTACTTGGGAATGAGAGAACACTAAAAACCAAATAGATAACTAGTTGTACGTATGAAATTACTTGGGAATGAGAGAACAATAAAAACCAAATAGATGATAACTAGTTGTACACTGTTAAAAATGAGACATCTTCTCTGTTCTGTAGACAAGACCAAGAAATGTCTCAACTTCACACTATGCAATTGACACAAACAGTATTTTCTAGTCTCACCAATGCAAACATTTAACTTTGGCACTGTTTCATATTATGAAGTATCATTATTCTGAAGCACATTTACTTACAGATAAGGACTAGAAACTACATTCTGTGATTAAATATAACCTACTTGGGGCTTTCACTTCAGCTAATAACTTTACATTATTCAATATTTTGCAAGTGCAGCCATTAGGATGTAACAGTGATTTGGCTGCAGATTGAAAATGTTTCTTTCATGATTCTTCTCCCTTTGAATGACCTTTAAAAAAAAAATCACAGCTAAGGAGTTGTTAGGAACAAACTGACTTGAGTACTCTGCTAAGAGAAATGTTGTGTTGGGTGCAGTACTTTAAAACCTTCAATGATGCTTATTAAGAAGATATTAATGCTTAGACAGGAAAACAATCAATTAGAAATCTTTTTGATACTAGTCAAGGTCCTTAGATTATGCCTCAAATCTTCATACAACAACCTAAGCTTACATATTTTAGAATCCATGTTCACAAAACTATTTCCTGCAAAATTTTCAGTCTGTTTTAAATTCTTTGACAAAAAGACTAATGTATAATAATAATAATAACAACAACAACAGGCTTTATATTAAAAAAGAGCATTCCAAAGTACCTGCCATCAACTTCTTTGGCCTTTGCATACTGCAGATGAATCTTTGGAGAAGAAACATGAGGAAGCAGTTCACCAACCTTTGCCCTAGAAAGGTAAGATAATTGTTAATAAATATATCTGGTTCCAAATTTTCTCCAGTAAAACTGTCATATTTATATCAACACAGCCCTTAAATCACCAAATTGAGCTTTCCCACTGGAGACAACACAACAATCAAATTAACATAAACAAAATTAAAAATGTATTGAACATAATGCCAGTGAGTTTACCTACTCATGGTCCCCACTCCCCTTGAATCATTTTCAACTGTCTGAATATTCAGTCTCAGCTATGTGTTTTATAAAATTGAAGAAATTTGATGAACTAAACAGTAACTACACAAATAAAATTACTAAATTCAGTGTGGATGTGCACACACCCACAAAGGACTCAAAACTGAGCATCACACATAGAAAAGGGAAGAAAATTATCTCCCACTTCCAGTAAGACTACATTTAAAACAAGATAAGCTTCTGAGAGAAGCTTGGGGGAGGGAACAATCAAATCAATGAGACATAATTAATGAGGCATTTATGCTAATCAGAGAGTCATTCCTTTCCAAAGAGTACCACAGCAAGTCCCCTGAAGTACCAAACTTGCCTGAAATGTGTCCTTACCAGTTCTTACAGCGGATGTAAACTGATGCTGCCTTGTCATAATACTGTCCCTTCTCATACAGCTGAGCAGCTTCTGAAAATTGCTACAATATTGGACATGGTTAAAATCTAATTCCTGAACGAAGATTACAAACAAACCAACAGCTCAATCAATTCACATATTCAACCTTAAGGTCACTAACTCTTTGGAGTACCTTCATGTTCTCCAGAATAGCTCCACAGTCTCTCTTCAAGCCCCTGCTGGGATGTTTGATGGCCTGGTTAACCCCTCGACGGATATCTCCCATGCGAAGGGACATCTGAGCCACTCCAGCAAGGCAAGCCTCATCGTGCTCCTGGTACTGCCAGCCAAGGGAACAGCAAACAGACAGTACACACAAATATCAGCTCACAAAAGCCACAGGAACCAAGCACTGAAACAAACTAATAAAGATAATTTTTGTTTACAAATTCTTGCCCGAGAACTGTCCAGCCCAAGCATACATGAGAAGAATCTGTTTTACAGATTAGCTCAGTGCTACTCTCCTCTTTCCTCCAAAATCAACAGGAGACAAAAAAAAGAGACTTCAAGCAGGTTATTTCCTCCTCTTGGTTTTTCTTTTTTTAAAGGTGGTAAGGCCACTGATGTTTCATGAGTTGAATGGCCTGAATTCAGAAAACATTATTATCTCCCCTATTATGTTCTCCTGTTATCATTTAAGTTGCTTCATAATAGACATTTTGCAAACATTAGAGGAAATAATGCCAGAATAAGGGAGGGCCTACTGAATATGATGCTTGTTTTCTAACAAACACAATCCTTGCTTGTCTTTATATAGCTAACAAAAAGAAGGAATAATTAGGATTTTTGCTATAACTATGAAGATCCTGGCAATATTCTGTCTTTATATAGCTAACAAAAAGAAGGGAATAATTAGGATTTTTGCTATAACAATGAAGATCCTGGCAATATTATCTCTGACATTTGCATGCCTATTATGAAACTGCTGAAATGATAAAAACCTAAGTTTAGTCATGCCATGTTAATACAATGGTAGAGCTGCTGTACACCTATAGAAAGGAATGTTCTGTATAATAAAAGAAATACAAAGACTACTATCCCAAAAACAGCCTAAAGATTTAAAGCTGAATTTTAAAAAAATGAAATTTAATGAGTCTGAAACATGACAACTTAATGTATACTAGGACAGTACAATGCTATCATTACTAAAAAGGAATTACCTTATTGTTTCCAGTGATTCCCTTCTCATAATGTGCCAGAGCATTAACATAATCACCCCTAAAAGAAAACTGGAAGTTATACAGAATAGTTGCAATAGGAAGAGATGGTTAACTTCCTACCACACAGACTATGCATGTGTTTGTCTTGCTTTAGATGTAATGATTCCATAGATGGATGTGAAGGATGTGAGAGATGGACAGTTACACAATGTCATGGCACTTCCTGTGGATTTCATCAAGCTCTCAGTCAAAGCAGCATCCCATGTCTCAATTTTGTTATACTGAGACCAATAAACCTCCCTTGAAAGACAGGCAAAGAATCTACCTGCACAATACACCTCTCAACAGTCTCAGCTCTCCTTCCACATTTTTCTGGCAGATAAATGAAACTAACCTTTTAAAATTCTGTAGGATTTTTGTGACATAAAAACAAAGGCAATTTCTTTCCTGGAGTATATTCAGAACTCAAGTTACACATGGTTGCATTGCTTCAACTGCCTCTGTTCCTTACTTTCTGTGAGTAACAAGTGTCCCCTCTGAGTGCCAGGGGCAAAGAGTTGCCTGAAAACTATTAATAGGTAAGAGGTTTTCCTCTTGGTTTAAACATTAAGCAGACTAGGTTTCCTCTGGAAAGAATTAACTACAAAACAGACTTTAAAATCATGGCCAATGGTTCATACTTTGTCTTTCAGGGACAGGCAGCCTTGGAATTTGACAC